ATATTTCCCTTAATTTGATTTTTCATTTAGTTCATCTCTAAGCCTCAGTAATGGTTGTATTTCTCGACCCAATGATTTATTAAGTGAAAATATTCTTTGACCTCAATTTATCCTCTTTAAACACCTTAACCTTTTTTTAGATAAAGGGATTCAGCATTGTGAAATATTGCGAAGGGAGAATACTTGAATGTATAGGAAATTAAACTGCATAATTTATTGTATCAATTGAAAATTTTAAAAACAACTTAACAACAGCTGAAATTCAATAACAAATCTGTTTTTGAGTGATGCAGGCATGTATATATCTATTTATGTCCATCTGTATAGGTTGGAACAACTTCCTGCAGCTGCAGGCACAATTGTATGGCGCATTTTGCTAGTTTTCTCCATAAGAAGCTAATTTGATCAAAATTTCAGCCTAACTTCTGAATCCGTCCCCTCTTCTCAGTAGTTGGGACATGCATAGAACACTTGAATAGTGAAGATGATATACTCTAGGCAGAAATCACATCATACCTTCTGATATATTCGATAGATATTCGGTTTCCCTTAGGCTTGTTCCATTCTATGAGTTGATGGAGGCCTGAATTTGCTCCAGAGTTTTTCCTTTTGTTTCGGGCACTATCTTCACTACAAACAGTACTGTGAGAGCATAGAATCCAGCATAGAGCATGAATGATCCTGAGGAAGAAAATTTCAAACATGGGTATGAATCAATTCCAACACATTAATGTACAATTTAAGATTTAAATTATTTGATTTTGACTATATTTGCACAGTAGTCCTTTACCTGTTGAACTCCAGCTCATGAGAAAGTTGAATGTGTAGGAAGCTGCCCAAGCACCTAACCAGTTTACTAGTACTACCAGGCTCCCAGCTAAACCTTTCATGTGAATTGGGAATATCTGAAAAGAAAAAAAAATTGGCTTTTACGGAAAAATTAGTAGTCTGCTCTGGATCTTGCAATATAACTGAACGATGTGGCGAAAAGGGATTTCAGGTAGCTGACCCCGAGTTGCAGACAACAGGGCTTAGTTTGTTGTTGTAGTATTATGACAGCTTTAGAGAGAAATCTCGAATTATACATGTTAGGGAATTATTGAGAGCAATTACCCAAGGTCCAAGCCCACATCACCAGGCCCAAGTGAGGTTCCATCCCAAAACCAATTGGTAATGGGTGGAGTAGCCCACTTGAGTTATATGGTGGATTTATTTTCTTCCCACAACCGATGTGGGATTTGTTTGCCCCAACAATCCCTCCCTCA